AAGAGAGAGAGAGAAAGTACCTATTCTTTTTTTTCTTTTTTTTCTTTAATTTTTGTTATTTGTATCGAAGGAAGTACAAATTTTCCGGTTGATTTGGTTTGTTTTCATTAAGTCGCATGCACAACATGATACCAATTTGCAAGAGGCAAAAATGCAATCAATTTTACCAAATTTGTTATTTCCTTCCCCCCGAATCATTCATTCATTCATTCATTCATTCATTCATTCATTTATTTGTCCATTCATTCATTCATTTCAGATTTCGTTTCATTTGTTTTCTGTAATACTTTAGAAGATATGATGGATGGATGAATGAAAGACAAAAAATACGAAATAAACAAATCAAAAATAGAAAAAGATAGCAACGATAGAATTTTACATTTAAAGAAAAAAAAGAAAAAAGGAAAGATTAAGGAAGTTTAAATTGAAAATTTCCATTGTCAATAATCAAATGGCTAAATATTTATGTTTTATTACTATTATGGTATAAATGCATTTGGAAAAGAAATTCTTTTTTTTGCAATTTTTCATTTTTCTCAAATTACATTCACAAATTAAAGTCAAAACTTTGAAAAAAAAATTCGAATTTAAAAATTTTTCGCTAAAAAGTTTTTACATTAATTTTCAATCCAATCTTTTTTTCTTTGCAATTTTGAATTTGAAAAGAATATTTATTTTTGTTTTGTTTTTTTTTTAATTTTATTTTTAATTTTTTTTTAAAACAGAAGAAAAGAAAGAAAAGGAAATTTTTTTTTTTGTTTCAATGATTAATTCAAAATAGTTTGATGAATATGAAATTTGATAAATTCCGGTAAAAAAATTGTTAACCAATTTTTCCCAAAAGTAAAATTTAATAAAAATTTCTCGAAATATATTGCAATATAATAAATATACATGTATTGTTAATTGTTGAATAGAAAAAAAAAAATTTATTGCTACTTGTTATAAATGTGTTTTTGTAAGGAATTTTTTGCAATTTTTTCTTTTTTGTTTTAAATTCGAAATCAAAGTTCATGATAAAATGATTCAGTAATCAAGTTATTAATTAATATGAATCTTTTTTTTTCTCACCCTCACTATGAAATCATTTCAAACAAAAATTAAAATTATAATTCACGATTTTTTTAATCATTTCCGTCTTTTTTTTCTCTTCGTATCAACAAATAATGCTGTAATTCATTAAGAAAGACTTAATTAACATGTTGCAAGGCTTAATTACTATTTCAATTAACATGTTATAGGACTTAATTAACATCCTAATTAACATGTTGTAAGATGGATGATGAATTTTTCAAGTATATACTGTGAAATAATTTGTATTATTCTATCCTAATTGTATTTATTCCATATTTCTTAATAAAAAAAAGTAAGCTAGGCCTTTGAAGTAAGCTAGGCCAAAAAATATCTCAATATCTAATGTTATATGATCTATATCATTATTAACCTAGTAATCATTATCAGAAGTAATACTTCAAAAGTTATATTTCATTCAAGGAATTCATTAACAATGTAAATTTTGGCTATCATTTTTAATATCTGAACGATTACAATTTTATTTTGCACTTTTTTTTTCTTACTTTAAATGCTAATAATAATGTGATTGAAAATTTTAATTATTGATTAAATGATTTTAAAAAAAAAATTTGATAGCATTTAAATTGAATCAAATTTCCTATATTTTGTCAATTAGTTTATGTAAAAATTAAAAAATATTCTAGTTTTGATGAAAGAAAATTGATTTGATTGTATGAAAAATTAAAATTATTAATAAGCATAGAAAATAATGTGGCAAAAAATTTGAAATCTATTTGTTACAAATAATTTTTATAAATTTCATTTAATTTCTAAATTCATATTTTAATTACCATAAAAAAATTTAGAAATTCTTTTGTTAATAAATAAATTTCTATACAAATTGATATTTTTTCCATTGAAAAATGAAAAAAAAATTTATTGCAAATTTTTGAATAAAAAAAATTTGATATTAACCAAAAAAAATATTTGATTATAACATTTTAGTTGATTGCCATTTTTTCAGGTTAAAAATAATTGTGTCACATATTTTTTTTT